TCTCCAAGTGATTCTGTAAGATCCTCAAGCCATTCAAACAAATGGCAGGTGGTAATTTTAAAGACAAATTACCCAGAAAAGCTTTTATTGTTGATCGCTTGTTATAAGATCTGCCATTTGCTAGTAATTGTACATTCAGATGAAACTGACCTTTTATGAGAGCAAAGTGGTAATATAAATGAAATGAATATATTCTTTATTGCAGTAATATAAAAAGAATGGCCTGAGCTTTTAACATAGTGCTTGACCTCTCTGGTGTCTGAACACCACCTAATCTCAGGAGTATTTCACAATAGCATATGATAAAATCAGTGCTAATAGAACATTAGAATGGTTTAACATATTAACACTTAGAAGCATATAAAATATTAGAGCTTTAGGTATGCTTTTTGATTATAAATCAGACTGTTGACAGAAAGAAAAAAAAAAGATTAGAGTACAACACACTGAAATTCATAGTCACACTAATTATTGAAGCATTGCTGTTTCTGTTTTAAACTCCTTTTTCCAAAATACTCTACAATAAAATCAGATCAGGAGACTCCAGATGCTGAGATTTAAAATTCTCAGTCAGAATCAATTATTTATAAGCACTAAAAACATGCTATTTCTCCTTGAAGGCCCTGAGCATACAAGGAGTACTTCTAGGTTAAGATGCATGTATATAGGTTGCATTCTCTTTAATGAAACCAGTCACATACATACCAATAAATATGTGCAAAAGTGACAGTACAGCCAGGTCTTAGAAAAGCTATACTTCCTCCTATGTAAAAGCACTCATTCATGTGCACCAATGCACTTAAAACCAGAGAATGAGGGAGGCTATGAGGGAGAGTGAAGAGCCTCTCTCTGCAGGAATCACAAAAGTAGATGATACTTCTGAAACAGGGCTAAAACAAGGAAAGCACACAGATTACACCAAGTTGCACGTTCATCTTCATTTCACCATTGAATTTGGGAATGGACTGATCTCTTATGGCCCAATTCAGATGTCACAAGTTGGCACCAATTATGTTATTGATTTCAGTAATGGTATTCCTATTCTATACCGGTGAGACGCTACACAAGGTGTCTGCAAATTCCCATTTGTCTTCTGCTCTACAGGTACTTTGCAGAATACTCAGCAACATCAGCAGAGAAACAGTAAAAGAGAACATTAACTAAGAAATGCTGTGATACAGACATGGTTGGGAGAATTTCACACTGTTGTTCTCTTAATGTATCATTACACGTTAGAGCTATCTAAAGCAAAGCAAAACATTCATTACTTGGGACATCTGACATGAAATAATAGCCCAATTGTATAAATGACTACTGAGTTTATTTTCATTACTTGTATTATCACTTTAAAGCTACAAGCAACTGCATTATGTTTGCTAGTTTTCTTCAGTCAACACCTCTGTATTATGCCAGTATGAAACCCATTCATCAAAGCACAATTTCAAGTGACTCCTGACCTTCAAACCTCTGAAATGAAGGGTTTGCTTCTGCTTTCACTTCAGTTGCTTTCCCGACAGTGTCTCTGCATTGCCAGAATCTCACTTTGTTCATCATCTGCACAGGAGAACAAAGCTCTCTAATTTCTTAAGGAGTATTTAGTATTCGGCATCTTACAGTTTGACATTTTACCAGAGTGTTTCTTTAAATACAGTATTATTTGACATCTATTCCTAAAACAGAAACAAACCTTTGTAACATGCTCTTCACCTTTCTAGCATGTATTTTACATTTTTTAATGCATCATTGCCTAAACACTATTTTTAGGTAAACATAGGCATAAAAGTAAAAACCTTTGCTAAAAACAATGTTCTGCTGAACATGGAAGGCCACAGTTTGGACACATCCATTACTCTGAAATAGCCAGACATTCTCTCAGAACAGTTTGAGCCAAGGACACTCTCCACCTCTATCTACCTTTGTTGGTTTAGATTCCTGGCTTCCTATAAGATACTTGGAGTCATTGAAATCATGCCTAAATTTCAAGTATTACTAACAAATACATGCAGTGGCTTTTCACTTCTGTATCAACTTTTTAAGTGACAGCTTTTCCTACAGCAAAACACTTTTGTGAAGCCATCAGGAACTCCACTCAGAGCCCCTAAATGTCAGATCACAGTTGCATAAGTATGACAGTTCAGCTCTTCTCTAAGTGCAGGACACTCCACAGCAGCACGGATTACACAAGGACAGCCACTGCCTCTCACCCTCTAACCAGTGCTGGTTTTGCACAGGACCAAGTCCTCTCCCCCAGCATTCCCAGGCAAAGTGCTTTTATGGAGGACTCACTTTGATGACTTAAGCTGTAAGCCAGCTTCTCCGAAAACAAATTGTACTCAGGGCAAGCCCCAGCACCAGTCGTTGCCTCTGAGGTAAGGCATTAGGTGCAGCAAGGCTTATAACAAACAGCCACTACACCTCTCCTTCGAAAAATTTAGCACTGTTGTGAAAGCATAGGGGATGGCCATAATCACAGCATTCCCATCTTCAACACATGCTTCATTAAATAATAATAATAATAATAATAATAATAATAATAATAATAATAATTAAAAAAAAGCTTCAGGAAATTCTTGCCTTATGGCTTTAAAATCCATATCTTAAATCTTCTCCATTCAGAACTTAACAGTGAGTGCCCATACTTCACAAAGAACTATCAAATGAGTCTTGGTGCGCAGCTCCTCCCAGCAGAGGGGCAGCTCTGTTCCTGCAGTCTCCCATCCAAGCAGACTGTAGAGCTCTGTGCATGAGTGCACTACAACACCACTCACTTTGTCGACCTCCAACAGCCCTGGCCAGAAAGGAGCTTTTAAGCAAATGGGAAATGGAAATATATGAATACTGCTAAAGCAAAACACATTAACCATGCTGCGTGCTACTATTTTCCAACATATTATCGAGATGCAAAATCTTTTGAAAACATATTTGTTCAGAAATATGAATGTAATGAAGCACTTTAAACACTTTAAAGCATGAGGCATTTGAGAGACCATGCTTGTTTCATAGCTGTAACAAATTTCTTCCTTAATTATACCAGGATGGTGGAAAGGAACAGAATGAAAACAGTTATTCTGAAATCCGTGTGTTGGTTGCTTTAATTAAACATTTTCAACATTGTGCCCGGTTGCACATTGGTGGCTCCCACGTTAGCAAGAGCCTATGCTGCAGTGTTGTGGCACAGCCTCTCAGCACATCCCAAAAACAGCACTCTGAAATACACCTGGACCTTCCAACAGCCCAAAGAGCAACACATGAACTGCTCATAGGTCAGTACACCAACCAGCAACAAGGCCACAAAGAAAACAATTTGAGAGTTATTTTTTTCCGAGCCTCCCACTGTATCTGTGTGAACCACAGACTTCTTAACTGAAAAGTATTTGTTACTTCTAAACCTCAAGGGGAAGCTGAGGAGCAGTTTGGGATGTAACTGAGTCTTTCCATACCGATACATGTTTAAAGAAAGTTGCCGACCAGGAGAAGCCTCTAAAACTGAACAGCAACTTTGTACTCTACATTCAGAGAATATATAAGCTGAAAGCAACAAGTGTCGGCTCAAAGTTACCCGAACATGGAAATTCAGTGGATTTCATTACTATTTTTAAAGGGGACAGGGTATATCTTGCCACTGTCCCAAGACAGATGGAGGTACAATAAGGAAAGAGAAAGAATGACTGCGTAGCAAAAGGGTCTATGGCCACAGGGGGAATTTCAGAAAAAAAATGATTGTATGTGACAGATGAGAAACTTAAGGGGGGATTTTAAAGCAGAGTACAGAAGGACCAACAGTGATAGGGAGGGCCAAAGGAGCCTGTGGGACAGTTATAGGCACAGCCCTGTGTCCTTCTGTCTCATCCTAATGCATATCAGTGGTTCAGACCCACTGTGCTGAGCAGAGATGAGCTCAGCATTGGTGCACTGGCAGCGTGGAGCAGCCTTCCCAGCACTTCTGTGAGCTACACTCTCATTGTCCTGAAATTCTCCACATTCATCATTCCTCCCCTGAAAAGTGCTAAATGCTGTGCAGTGGGGAACTGTGGCTTTATTTCACCTCCAGAAAAATCTCCTGCTTCCAACTTTACAAGGAAGTGAGCAAACCGAGGGGCTCCTCATTCACTGCACAGACAGCAGAAGCTCACAGCAAAGCGGCAGCAGGAAAGCAGAAATCTGTCTTCAGGGCTCGAGCAGCCCAATTTGAGCAGCTCACGCTCACGCCTTTCCCCATATTATTTCTCTCTTTCTTCCACGCTCTGTGATTGCTAAGCAATTATCCGCCCGGGACACGTTTTTATTCATTCACTCTCAAAGATGCGATACGGATAAGGTTGCAGGGAAAAGCTGGAAAATAAAATCACCGCCAAAGCCAACCCCAGCCCTTGCGCAGGCAGACGGAGGGATAACCTGTTGTGGGCACGTTTCGGCGGCAGGCAGAGCCAAGCGCCGGGCTGCCGGGGGGCGGCGGCGCGGGGCTGCTCGCGCGAGTCCCTCCCAGCAACTGCTGCAGCTTCTCTCTTTTGGGGAGACGGCGGAGCGCCCCAAGGGGCCGTGCCCGGCCCGGGCGATTCTACACCCTTTCTCTCCTCCCCCCTCCACCCTTCCCGACCCCGCGGGCAGAGAGCAAAGTTATCTCCCCCAGCGCACTGCGAGAGCCCCTGCGGAACAGCTCTCAGCATCCAGCAACCCGCATGCAACTCTGAAGAAGTTTCTGCAGGCGAACAAAACCACCTCTGAGGCATTGCCCGCGCCCTCTTATGATATTTTTAATTTTTGTGTTTCTTTTTCTTTCTCGTCCCAGTCCCTTAGCTTTTTTTTTTTTTTTTTTTTTTTTTTTTTTTTTTTTTTCAGCCTTTATGTATTCCTTTATCACCACACATACCGCCGATCACCGGGTACCACCAGCCGGCCGACAGAGCCGCTCCGCGCCGCGCACGCGAGCGCGCAGCCCAAATCCCGCAGCCGCGGGCGGTGCGCACCGCCGCTCACCCGCGCCGCGCCCCGCGCCGTACCTGCGATCTCCTGGTAGGGCACGCTGGCTAGGCTGAAGCCTTTGGCGCTGTACGCCTGCCGCACCTCTCCGCAGCTCCGCGCTTTGCTCTCAGTCCCCGCGGTCGCGGGCAGCGGTAGCAGCAGCAGCAGCAGCCCCGCCATGGCCCAGTGCGCAGCCCCCCTCGCAGCCGGCATGGCGCGGCGCGCAAGTCCCGCGCTTCCGCTCCGCGCCGCCGCCGTGCTCCCCGACTGCGGGGGCGGCGGGCCGGGAGCCCCCCGACCGCCCAAGCAAACTTTTGAGAGGCGGGGGGGAGGTGGGCGCGCACACGCACACATGCGCGCACAGCAGGAGAGGGAGAGCGGCAGCCTCGTCCCCGCGCCTCCTCGGCAAAACGCTATCGTCCCCCAGCAGAAAAAAAAATAATAATAATACTAATTTTAAAAAAAAGAAAAAAAAAAAAAAAAAAAAAAAAAAAGGAGAATCTGTCTCTAGGTTGTGGAGATTGAGAAGGCTGCCTGCAGAGCGCAGGGTGAGTGGCGGCGCGATCCGCCGCGGAGCTGTGCCCGCCGCCGCTGCGAGGCTGGAGGTGGTGGAGGCAGTAGGCGGCGTGGGGATGGACTGGACAGCGGCTCTGTGCGTGCGCGTGTGTGTGTGTGTGTGTGCATGCGTGTGGTGCGAGTGCCTGTATTGACGGGAGCCGGGGAAACCTCCGCTCCGCACAGCGCCGGAGCGGGCTCCCGGAGCAGGCAGGGAGCAATCCTGGAGGCAGCTACAGCCAGGGAGACACACACGCACACACATCGCACGCACACACACACATACCGAAACGTGCTACACATTGCATAGCTGAAATACGGGAGAGGGAAGGAAATCCTGGCGTGGATCGCTGTCTGCTGGAGGAAGGAAGGAAGGAAAACCACCCACAGCTGTGAAAACTTCCTCTTCATCCAAGATCCAGGCACTCCAAGCCCCTAAATTACAAAGAGCCCGCTAGTGAGAAGTCAAAAAAGATACTCGTCGGCAGTTTTGCTCTCCGTAATGTCAAGTTTGGAGTGGGGCCCATAAACACTTTCATTTTCATTAATTATTATCTGTTGTTCACATAAATGCTAGAGCTGAAGAGTCAGAGCGAGGAGGAGCCCATCATCCATAAGAGAAAGAGGGAAGCATGTTCCTGTGTGGAAGATAAAGAGGGATGAGAAGAAGGAAAAGCAGGCAGTCCTTGACCCAGGTAATTTGTGCCACCCTAGGAGAGGAGAACAGAGGACAAAGCCATAAATTCTCTCCTGCAAATGAGCATCTGCGGAGAACTGATTGAGGGAAGCAAAGAAAACTCCTTCAAGGTGAATTCAGCCTCTACTCGGGGAGAAAGAAAAATATTCCATTCTGAAGAGCTTGATAGTAAAATCTGAAGTTAGAGTTTGAAAGGATTTATTGCAGTGCTTTTTATGAGTACTGTAGAGATGTGTGGTATTTTGTCAGAAGTATACAGACAGAGATGTTAGGCCTAGGATGAAGCAAAGCAGGACCAACAGCAAAGATAAGAGACCACAAGCACTCAAGAACACTTATCAGTGAGGAGCCACATAGCAATGCCATGCTGGTATCAGAATTCAAGATGCTTTCAAATTAGACCAAACTTTCAGGTACCAATACAGTGTCACAGTAAATGCAGTGTTAGTCTTGGGTCTAGGCCAGTGAGATGAGGGAGGAAGGTAAATGTCTGGGGAGGAGGAGGTTGATGAGAGACTTCTTTTCTTTATTCCACACCATGAACCTGTTCAATCTCCATGGACTTGTTAGTTTTAAAAGTTTAGTTATCTCACAGTCCTTGCTAGTACTCCTGAGGGGAAATTTTTTTGTGAATGGGAACTGTAATGGTATCATCTGGCCTCACCTAGTGGAGGGCAGGATGGAAGTCTTTGCTTTAGCAGTCCCAAAATAGAGAACTCAATGTGTTACCTGCCCACTACATATAATAAGCTGTTTGTAGTTACACCATATAAATCTAAAATTAGGCAAGGTCCATACATTTACTATGTGGAGAAAATTTGGCAGATCTTAAGATACAAACTATTCATCCCAAGATAGGATGAGAAGGGTATTACATGTATCTCATTTCTTCTGGATTTCTTTGTGGCCACAGCAGAGAGTTAGTTTACCACATATCAAGCATGACAGACTCCCCCACAATCCAAACTTCTTCAGTGTTTCTTCAACCCACAGGAAAATTATTTGACACAAACTCAAAGATGCAAATGAGAAAAAACAGAGCAAGCTGGTTTTAAGCTGGTTTTAAGTGCAGAAATCATGGTAAAAGAGCAAAAGACATCTTGTGATTAACACAGGAGCACATCTAACTTACTTTCCAGAAAGTTATAAATTTGTTTAAAAAAAAAAAGTGGTTCTTATTCATCCCTCCATTTTTTTTGCAAATACCAATTGAGTTCATACCTCAGATAGTGTGACAAGAATTTACATAAGGCAACGATGTTATAACATTTATATTATGGGGAAAATTGCTGTGGGAAACTCAGACTCGTGTCCTCCCTTTGAATACTGCCTCTGACATCAATGACTGAGGCTTCCGGCAGCATCACAGTCCTACAAGGTAAAGGAATACTTGCTCTCCCAAGAGCTCTAATTGGATCTCACATTTAAACACAGATATTTTTACCACTTCAACAAATCTCCTACTCATCACATGGGAGAATCATTGTGTGTTCTCAGTACATATGTAATTAATTTTGTACAAAGTGGAAGAGCTCCAAAGAACGTCCAGGTCAGAATGTTTTCTAAGCCAGTGGCTTTAGAAATCCCTTAGAAACATAACACCTCTTGTCAAGCATGATAGGCACAAAACAAAATATCTCAATTTCAAGGCCTAGAATAATAGGGTATTTGATATGGTCTCACAATATCCATCCATTTTCAGATGTCCTAGACTATAAAAAACACATAACTAGTGTGTTTCATGATTGATGAAAAAAGTCTTCAATTTGTTATTTAAGAAAGAGTAGCAAGTGAGTATTTGTTGCTGAATTAGAAACTATTTAATATACATATAAAATGTTGAACAAAGTCTGGCTTCCTCCTTCTTGACATGGTGATTAATACCTTCCCAGTTAAAGTGACCTCCAGCTGAGAAGAGCTTGAGTCTGAGTTGTTATGTACTGGTAAGTGTTTGGGCCTCTAAACTGTTTGTTAAAAGCTTATCTTTTCCAATAAATTTTGGGAAGAAATTCATTCAATTCTTTTGCGTAAGCACCAAAGAGAAGCCTTTTGTTTTACTTAAATGGAACGTTTGAATCATCAGGGAATTCTTTTGCTTCTCTTCCGCTTTTGTGGAAAGAAATAAAACATTTAAATATATATATATATGTATTTAAATATTATGCTTGCTTGGCAAACAGACTGGGTTACCCTCTTGGATAACCACTTCCACCAAACACATTCAATGTAGCTACATAGATCTCAACTTGAATGAAGACTTTGCAGTGCATCTACTGATCAAGTTTACAATGATTATAGCTTTTATCCCTGCTCCTTGCCTCAAGTTATTCTAAATAGGAGTTAATTAATATTAAGTTCCACTGATTGTTTTTTGCAAATTCTTTTCCTACATTTGTGCCCAAAATGTGGAAGACAAATGATTTTTGACCTTTGTTTCCAACTACTTGTGTAACAAATGGATTAAAAATAATTATTCATGCCACATCATAATAAAAATGTCAATGCAAAGTGGAGCAGCAGCCAGCATTAATTCCACCAGCAACGGAATGCCCCACGTTGCTGAGACAGTTTTATGTTGTGCAGAAAAGGAGCTGTGGAACCTTTAAACAATAAGGACAAAACCAAACACTGAATCTCTATGTCATCTGCAAAGCAGTCATCATCTTGAGCTCCAAACAATTAAAGGACATGGTGGAAAAGCGTGATTATAAATGTAAAAAAAAGATAGTGTATAGTGCATAGGAGTGAAAATGAGATTGTAATGGGAAGTTTTGTGCATTTTTTTTTCATGTTTTTTGACTTATTTCAGTTGGTAAACATGATAAATGACGTAACTTTGAAAGATACACTGATTTATTTTCAGGTGTTATCAAAAAACTCTCATTGATGTCTCGGGTATAAAGGGGACCATATAGACAAAAGCATTTTTCATCTGACTTGACAATAAAGCTTTGGGAAATGTCAAAATGTTTTATAAGTCAAATTCACAAAAAAGAAGCTGACTCCTAGATTCACCGTTAAATCTATGTGCTCCTTGTATTTGCAGCTTTCACATAACAGACTTCTAGCAAGAAGGTTTCACAGGCTGAGGCAATAATCAGTGAGATTCTTAGATGTCCAATACAATTATTGCTGCTGGAGTGACTCTTATATTTCTGTTGATTTCTACATGAGGAAGACTTCTGTGGAATTAGCCCCTGTTTGCACGAAAAGGCCTTGAAGAATTTCAGAAGCTGTCGTTCTCTGTGTGGGAGTGGCAAGATCCTACCTTCACTGAAGAGGAGATCCAGCTCCACACAAATTTCCGATGTACTACTTAGAATACAGAGCATACCCTGGATATTGAGAGTCAGGTCACCTCCACTCCAAGATGTATCTACATGTATCCTGGGGGGAAATCTGAACATGTTACTTTTTCACTAAAACTATGTGTACAAATACAAACTATTTATGTGAAGAGAACGTTCTTACTCTAGGTCTTCAGTGTTTACTCCAGGTGGACATGGTTATTTTAAAAGCCCATGAAAACTTAATTTCATAGTGTTGAGGCAACACTGTGATTGAAATTGAGCTATGAATTTGTCCCAATAAAACTCTCAAAGGCCAATTCAATGATGGTATGCATGACAGCATGAAAATGTCCTTTGTACCTGTTTTTTTTCATGATGTGTCTGAAGCCTTCATGGAAAATTTTTATCCACACATAACAAACTGATCTTCTTTTTTACTCTACACTAGAAAGGAGAGCCTTTTTTTTTTTTTTTTTCCCCTACTGTATGATATTTTCTGCAAAATTAATGCAAAGCCCAATTCTTTCCAAAAAAATAAGCTCTAGAGGCACAGGTGTGAAGAAGTCATCTTGCTCTTGAAGTTGCACTCAAAAAATAGAATTGTCAACACAGCTGCTAGATAAGTCCTCATAGAAAAG